GGAATTCTGTGGCATGATTGCCTTCATTAGGCATACCCAAAAGGTATCTATCTTTTGATTGTCTTTCCCAGGACTTAGGGTTGCACATGAAAACCTTATAGTGAACTTAAAAAGTTGATCATTAAAGTTGTGCCCCCTCCTTCCAGTGACACTCTGTGGCACTCTGCTTTACCAGCTGAAAAAAGGAGATGCACTTAGTATTTGATAATGCATACTGGTGTTGCATACCTCCCAAAGGGATTGCATTGCAACATTCTGCATTCTGGCACCTCAAATTTGTTAAGCGATAAGAACATAAATGCAAAACATGATGTGTTTAGTATTTGAGGGTCTCTGGTTTGAAGTTGTAATAGTATGTTATAGTGATGGCAAATAATTTGTAGGTATCCTGCTCGTGCAGTGACGCTGGGGCAGGATTTGTGCATGAGAGCTTCTGGTGAGGTGCTTAGTTGTTGTAGGGAATATTCATGGACTTCTTAACATTTTACTTAACAATGCACACTCACTGAAATATGTGCAGTGCCCAGCTCTGGACATGGAATCTTTGTTCCCTTCTGTAGGCAGCTGAAGCAGGAATATAGTTCTAGATATAGTTGTGCTCAGTGCTCAGAAACAACTTTTGAGAGTATTATTCATATCTAAAAGCTTAGGCACGCATACTTAGGCTGTTTGCAGTGAGTGTTGTACATTCTGTTCTCTGTAAGTCTTAGTGCTTGTTTCATATAGTTTGTTTGCATGGGTGGTCTTTAGAGGAACCAGGCTAGTGAGTCAGTTTAAATGGACAGGTAGGTTTTGGTAGGGTGGGGATTTCTTGCTTTACCTCTCCTGATTCCTCTCAGATCATAGCAGTTAATAGTGCTGTTTATTGTGTATCTCCAGCTTAAGAACATTGCTTTTCAACACTAGTAGAGCATACTGCTTTCAGTCATCAAATGCAGTACATCAAGGCTACTAAGGATGGCAAGATAAGCATCCTTAGGATTTAAGAAAACTGCCTTATTCAATGAGACAAAAATTAACTTGCTTAATTTAAGGGGAACCATGTGGCTAGTTTTACATTTTTCTTCTTTTCCTAGTTTTACATAAATGTGTATATGTTTCAGTGCTGACAACACATGGGAACCTGAAGAGAACTTAGATTGTCCAGAGCTAATCGAAGCTTTTCTGAACTCTCAGAAAGCTGGTAAAGAAAAAACAGATGGTGCCAAAAGAAAATCTTTGTCAGATAGTGAATCTGATGATAGTAAATCAAAGAAAAAGCGTGATTCTGTAAGTATGTGTTCACGTGCTAAGCTTTGATTTTCCTGCATCTCTTCTCTACCTCTCCATCCCCATCCCCTCAAAATCCTATTGTGACTGTGAGAATGAGACCGAACATGGATGTAAAACTAAAACTTGCACAGTATCTGGAACTGTAGTTTGAAAAGGATTATACATTTGGTGTAGTTAATGAGGCTGTCCAAATGGTGGGTAAAAGGTGATTGACTGAGATGATGATTAAAAGTTCTTGCATTGTCCCATGATGCTTACTAAATAATTGAAAGAGTTATTAATGTATTAGGTAGTGACTTTGTATTTGAGCAAAAGGTCCATGAATGGAACAAAGAAGAAGTTCTTGTCTGACTTTCATTTTTAGTATAGGATTTTGAATAGGTGAGTGGCAAGATGGCAAAAGGTACAGACATGGTGGTGGGGAGGGAGTAGAAAGGGTGACTGAAGAAAGCATACCTTTTCTGAAAAGTCTGGGTTTCTCCTGCAATTTAAGTGAGTGCACAACATGACACATTTAGTGCTGATAAGAACAAGATGATGCACATGTAGTAATGTCTTAAGTAGTTCACATTTCCCTCTGTAAACTTTCAGACCAGCAATTTGAAACTGCTGACATTGCCAACCATTTTCATGTCCTGGAGATAGCTGTTGGATGTGTGCTTGCTGTTAAAGAGGTTGGGAGGCATCAGAAGGAATAGCTGATGAATAATACAAAGAATATGTTAGTTTCTCTATAGAGTGCTGTGTGGCTTTGTTTGGTACAGTAGTGGCCACTGTCTCTAAAAGGATATTGTGAACCTGTATAGGAGCTAATCTTGGAAATAGTTGTGATATTTCTTGTCATCAGTGTGATCTCAGTGAGGCAAGAAGAGTTGAGGTGTTCCCCAAGAGTGCAGTTTCGTGGTAGGCTTAAGACCAACTCAGGCCTGTTGTTTTGCTGAAAAGAGCATGTTTTTTCCACTTCCAGGAGTTCATTTTTGCTTTGCTGCTTTTGTTGCTTTTACTGACCATGCTCATTTGTTTATCTGCTGTAATGATTTTAGGTCTGTTGAGTTTTCAGAAATAAATGCTATAAACATGGATGTAAACTCCTTGATTACCTTACATCTAAATGACTTGGCTGAAGATCAGCCTTGAAAAAATAAAATTGTTGTTATCTTCAGACAATAATAAGTAATTATAGATTTGATAGTTTTTTAAAAGTTTATTTTTTGTCCTGATACACACATTTGTCTGTACAAATATTTGTGCATCTAGCAGCAAAATAAAATTTCATTTTAAAGTAGATAACCATATTCTAACTCCATCAATAGGTTGATAAACCAAGAGGGTTTGCAAGGGGTCTTGATCCTGAGCGGATAATTGGGGCTACGGATAGCAGCGGAGAGCTTATGTTCCTCATGAAATGGTAAGTCTTAATCCACAGTTCTTGTCCGTGTTAAGGGAGGGCAGGCCCTTACACTTAGGCTAGTGAGACAACTTCATTTCAGGAGTCAGATGGAGAAGTGGGTGGCTCTCCTTATTAACCTTGTATTCTTAGAAAAACAAGGTTTCTGTATTCAGTACTTAATCCCCCTTCCTTCAAACCCAAAATATCTTTAATTTTTATTGGTTCAGTTTTACAGAAGTAGAAATTTGAAAAATAATTTCTAATAAAATAGGGCATTTCTAATAAAATTGGCATTTTAATGGAAAAGCTGGATCTTGGTAATGTTTTTGCTGAGGGAATGGGAGGCAGAAATCCAGCTTCACCTGTTTCAGTAAGCAGAATCCAACTGCTGAATAGCCAGCCATTTGACCAGCCATTGTTCTAGCTGTTCTGCATGCAACAGAGTGGAATTGGAAGTAGCTAGTGGAGGAAGCAGAGGTTGAGTTGGAGAATGAAGAGTATGAAGGAGAGGTTTGTCATTAAGGGCTAGTAAGAGGGGAACATGGTGTGGGGAGTTTGTGCTGTTGGGAGGGTAGGGGAGACCAGCTTCATTAGCTACAGTGTTGACAGAAGAATTTCTTGCCTTTCGAACAAGTGGGATAAAATTAGTATGTTTTTCCAGAATTGAGAAATCAAGAGATTGAATTGACATTTCCTAGGGGCACATTTCCTGTGGTGGGGGGTTGGGAAGGAGGATAGCTTTCCACAGCCTTGGAGAAGGGCACAATTTTCTGAAAAGAGACAAACTAAGTGGTCTCCAGAGACATGATTTGTTACGTGATGTGCCTGGATTGCTGAAGTCTAGTGCTTTAGAAGATTCTGCCTCCTTTCTGCCTTTTCGCATTGGCTTTAAATTTTATGTGAAACTTAGAACTGAGTTGCAAAACAAAGATCATGACTGAATTGCTGTAGTGATTATTGGCAAAATCAAACACACAGGAAAGGTACAAAAATAATCATGTTTTTTGCTGAGTTTGGTTGCCGTTGATTAGTTTTTAATAACTGATCACAGATAACAAACATAGATATGAGTATGTACGCACAAAGGTGACTTGTAAAGGCAGCATACACTTAAAAATGGAATCTGAAGTATGCCAGAATGGAAAGTTTATTAGCCCAAGACAGCATCAAGAATAGCAGTATGAAATACAGCACGTTAGTTACATAAATAGTAAATACAATTTGTATGTAAGTACCACCTCTTAACACTGATGTTAGTGATTTTAAAAAGTCTCAGAAGTCTGTATTATGCTTTAAAAGACAAAATTAACCAAGTTTTACTTCTTCCTTTACGTACTGTAGTATGTAACTATAACTAGTTCCCAGCATTGTCCTTTCAAACAGAAAAATATACTGGAAGGGAAGGAAGATGCAGCTATGAACCTTTGCCATTACCATTAGCATGGAAATTCTTGGTAGCTGTAGTAAAAGGTATGCTGGAACTGATTCCTAGCTGACCTTCATTGCAGAACTTTAGACTTACCAAGAGCTGCTAAATGTTTTGAAAGAAATGATCATGCATTTTCTTAAATCCTACTCTCTTCTACATCAGGAAAGACTCTGATGAGGCAGATCTGGTCCTGGCCAAAGAAGCTAACGTCAAGTGTCCTCAGATCGTAATCGCTTTTTATGAAGAACGACTAACTTGGCATTCATGCCCAGAAGATGAAGCACAATAATTGTTTGCATTGTTTTTTTATATATATATGAATATTGAAACCTGAAATTTGATTTATTAGCGATGTGAGAAGCATACATTCTAACAAGATTCAAATTTGATATTTTTTTGAAGTAGTATGTTTCGCATCAACAGCAAGTAAATAAAAGCTTTCTGCAACTTGTTTCATTTATCACAAGAGAACATTTGATACTACTACTTCCTCCATGTTAGGTAAAAGCTTTTATAAAACATTCATAAACTTCCATAGTTATTACAGAATCATAATGAATGTCTAAACAAACTCACAGATGTTTTGTAGTCTTCTATACTATTGATGTGCATGTATCTTCTTTACCCAAACCTAGCCCTTTAAACCTGTAGGGTCATTCTTTTTAGTATTTGGGATCACTTGGTCTCAAGACGACCAGGTGAAAACTAACTTTGTAGTAATTTGAATGTTATCAGACTGTATATTGTTTACTTTATTGTAAATACTGGTGAACAGTGGTCAATAAAATAGTTTTATATTCTTCCTTTATACTGATAGGCTGTGACTCTTTTGAAGCGGTTGATAATTCTCAACTTTTGATATGTTAAACTCAATTTGTAATATATTTAACTGTAAGTTGTTTTTTGAGGGGTAGATTGATTATTTAATGTTACCCTGTTGCTACTCTCTAATCACAATACCAGACACAAGACCAGGGTTTAATTATGAGTTTGGGTTTTTGGGTGAATACTGCCTGAGGCATAGTTGGTTTGGTTCAGCCAGGAAGGGCCTGTGAAATCAGTGTGCATTGGGTACTTGTGTAAGTCAAATAGCAGCCATACAGCTTAGGTATGTTGGTCACAAGGCCAAGTGGCCTGTGCAGGTATGCTAGGAAATATTTGACACATATTGACAGTATTAGCCTTTGCTTTAATTTCAGGTCTTAGTAAGAGACTAGTGTAGCTAGGGCTGGTTCAGATGGGACTATTCTTCAGGCCATCACCTGAAAAATACCTATATAGCTTAGCCTTTAAAGTGGCATATTTAAAGGAAAGTACTTAAGTCATGTACTTTGAGCAAGAGACTTTGTTTCTGATTGAATTTTAAAATTAGTCCTATCATCAGCTGCTTGGGGAATGTCTTCAGAAGGGCAGAAGTAAAGGTTTGGGGAACTCAGGAGAAGGAAAGTTGCCTTTTTCCATTCTTTCTCCAGTTGCCATTCATCTTTTCACTTGCTTTCACCTACACACCTTTTATTTGTGTTTTGATTACCATGGTGTAGTTTGCTTTGAGCTCTGCCTCCTTATATGTCAATGGCCAAGTTTGTTTCAGAATTAGAGTTTTGATTAAAAAAAAATAATCTTGTAATATGCTACTGTCAATGTCGTGAATGGTTTGTGTTGGGAGGGACTTTAAGGATCATCTAGTTCCAATCCCCCTGCCATGGGCAGGGGCACCTCCCACTAGACCGGGTTGTTCAGGGCCCTATCCAGCCTGGCCCTGAACACTTTCAGGGATAAGGCTTCCACTACTTCTCTGGGAAACCTGTTCCAGTGCCTCATCATTGTAACAGTAAAGAATTTCTTCCTAATATCTAACCTAACCCTACCTTCTTTCAGTTTGAAACCATTCCCCCTTGTCCTATCACCTTGTAAAAATTCTCTCTCCAGCGTTCAAGTAGGTCCCCTTTAGGCACTGGAAGGTGCTATAAGGTCTCCCAAGAGCCTTTTCCAGGCTGAACAATCCCAGCTCTCTCAGCCTGTCTTCTTAGGAGAGGTGCTCCAGCCCCATGATCAACTTAGTGGCCCTTCTGAAAGGTGAGACAGTTGAGATTGCCCAGGTATGTTTTTTGGGGTTTTTTTTTAAGATTAAAAAGAGATGGGTATTCCTGGAAGCCCTTATATGATGTGCTGAGGAGTGAGTGAAGGAATTCGGTCTGTGCTTGATGTTCTTTTGATCCTGTGTCACAAATCCTTACTTTAACTATTTGTCCTCTCAATAGTTTCAAAAGCCATTTATATTGTGAAACAAAACTTGTCACTGTAGAACACCTAATTATAGTTAAACAGGTGCCTAAACTGTTGCTATATGAACTTTTTACTGAAGATTTTTTAATACTGGATTTGGGCAGAATACAATCTCCATTTATTTGTGGCTCTAGGGAAAATCTGATATCTCTGTTGGCGTGGGGCTTCCCTTGCACCAGGTAATAAATTCAGTGCTTAGCTAACCTCTCCTTCTTGTTCCTTAGACAAATTGCCCTGACCTTGTCACATGTGTAAACCTTCTACAGAGTTCATGGCTTGAGAAATATTTGTACATCCAGTATATAGGATTCTGAAATACTTACTTTTTTATCCAGTAGCTTGAGAAATACATGGTCTAAACAGGAATTCCAAAGCAGCTTGTGTTCTCCTCACAGCTTCTTCAGTATGGAGTGCTTTTTAAAGCGTCTTAAAACTGTTACTCTACAATTTGCTTTTACTGTCTGAAACTTTTCAGTTCCTATAATTTGTTTCAAGTGTGGATATCGAGTCTTTATGAAGTTGCTGATTTGAAGCGATTCAGGTTAAACAGTTGATGTAAATTATCAGTTATTGGAAGTGGTAGACAAATATTTTTGTTTAAAGTTTGGTTCTCTTCAATTTGTAATCCTTAAAATACATATTTGCAACTAGTTACAGCTTTTTGCATTATATTTGGTTCTTCCTG